CTGACAGCTCAGAGCCCAGAACCTGTTTCAGATTCTGTCTCCCTCTCTCTATGTTCCTCTCCCACTCGCGCTCTGTCTCTGTCTCAAAAATAAATAAACGTTAAAAAAAAAAAAGAAATGACTGAATAAATAAATGAGAGAGAAGAGACAAATCTACAATGTGGAAGAATTCCAAAGGATTTATGTAGCGATTGTACCCTAAAGGCTGTGGCACGGAACTCCCCACTCCCTAAGTGCTGGCTGTTCACAGTGATTTCATTCCAAAAAGAACACTACGGAAAGGGAGGGGGTGGGGAACAAACAGCTTTAGAGTGGAGAAATTTGACATGTTACCTCAGCCAAGTGGTCTAGGTCAACATCGACAGCGTTGACATGTTGATTGTATATACCCTTGACGTGACATGAGAGTGGCACTTCTCTGTGGTCTTCCTCCCCAGACCCATAACTGGTATCATGAGGAACATGTCAGAGAAGCCCAACTGAGGCACAGTCTACAAAATACCTAGCCAGGACTCCTCAAAATTGTCAATCGAGGCCATTAGAAACATGGAAAGTCTGAGAAACTGTCAAAGCTGAAGAAGGCTAAGTGCAATGTGGTACCCTGGCTGGGATCCCAGAACAGAAAAAGGGCATTAGGTCAAAACTAGGACATCTGAATAAAGCAGGGACTTTATTAATTGTATAAATGTTGGTTCATTAATTGTGACAAGCGTACCATAACTAATATAAGATATTTGCAACAAGGGAAACCAGATATGAGGTATATAGGAACTCTCTGTACTATCTTTGAACTTTTTCGTAAATCTAATACTATTCTAAAACAAAAAGCCCATTAAACTAAATTAATGGGGATATGCTGAAAACTTTCTCTCAAAAACTGGGTTGCCTACTATCTCCATTTTTATTCAAAATCATATTGGAAGCCCTAGCCTGTGAATTGAAATATGAAAAAGGAATAAAATATATGAGTTGGAAAGTCAGAAAAAAAACAATATGTTTCTATACATTAAAAAAATGCCAACTCTGTAAGTTAATTTTTAGAATTATCATAGTCATTGAAGCTAAATTCATTCTCCACAAATGTTTTATTTTCATTGTTATAAACCAACTATAAACAATTCAAGAACTTGACATATTATTGTAAGATATTAAGACATACATTAATGCTAGATATACCACATCAATATTTTTGAAGACTATGTATTTTCAATTCTTCTCAAATTAATCTATGAATTCAATGTAATTCCAATAAAAGTCTCAGCAGGTGTGTTTGTGAAAACTGAGATGTCAATGCTAAGATTTATCTGGAAATGTAAAGGAACAAGAATGGCTATAGCAAACTTGAAAAAGAATTACAAAATGAGAGGATTTGACTTGCCTGAAAAGATTTATAATAAAGCTATAATAGTTAATACACGTAAGAATGGGTCCAAGTATAGACACATAGACTGATGGAAGGAGAGAGTGAAAACAGACTTTTTCTTTCTTTTCTTTTTAATGTTTATTTATTTATTTTGAGAGAGAGAGGGCAGAGGAAGGGCAGGGAGTGAGAGGGAGAGAGAGGATCCCAAGCAGGCTCCGTGCTGTCAGCACAGAGCCACACGTGGGGCTAGAACTCATGAACTGTGAGATCATGAGCTGAACCCAAACCAAGAGTCAGATGCTTAACCCACTGAGCCACCCGGGAACCCAGAACAGACCCATTCTCATAGGAGCACTTGAATTAAGACCAAGGAGGTGAATATTTCTGCATCAGTTGGTTATTTGTGTGGGGGAAACAAATGACACTTGATATCTACTTTCAATATTTCCTTTAGAACAGTCCTGCTGATTAGTGTAGCTTTTATTCTTCATTCAATGATCACTCACTACATGGCATTTTTCTCTAGTTTTCTTTGTAAAATCTGCATCTATCTGAAATTATCTCATTTGATTGCTTTTTAATATTCTACCTAGCTTCCACTACAATATAAAGTCCTTGAGAGTAAGAATCTTGTCCGTTCTACTCACTGTTGTACTTGGAGTATCTAGAACATTTCTTGGCACGATCATTAGCTTTCTATATAAAAAGCATTTCTAGGGCGCCTGGGTGGCGCAGTCGGTTAAGCGTCCAACTTCAGCCAGGTCACGATCCGACTTCAGCCAGGTCACGATCTCGCGGGTCCGTGAGTTCGAGCCCCGCGTCAGGCTCTGGGCTGATGGCTCAGAGCCTGGAGCCTGTTTCCGATTCTGTGTCTCCCTCTCTCTCTGCCCCTCCCCCGTTCATGCTCTGTCTCTCTGTCCCAAAAATAAATAAATGTTGAAAAAAAAATTAAAAAAAAAAAAGCATTTCTAAATAAACGAATGTGTAAATCTGCCAGGGAAATTTGGAGTGAAAAGAGCAGGTAATCCGCTGATCCAGCATTTGAATGATGAGGAGGAGTTTACCTGGGAGAGTCTTGGATGAGGTAATGGTTTGGAACATATTCCAGATAAAGAGCGTAGTAAGGATGAAAGGTACGATGAATGTGTGAGAGCATCACTGGGGGATTTTCCAAGCAGGCCATTCCTCTGTGTAGCAAATGGAAATGTTAAAGAGTCATTTATTCAGTCACAAGTCTCAGATTACTTGTATTATTTTCTTTTCATTTGATAGATGAAAAACACTTGCTTCCACACTGAAATACCAGCCCAGGATTCTGAAGACTTTTCCATTTGCCCAACCCAACTCTCAGCCTTTTCCAGTTTGGGGTTGCATGAGCGGATGTTATTCGGCACTTATTTACATTACCTGGTATTATTTTTAAGTCAGTAGTTCTGCAAGTCAAGAGCATGCCACGGTCATCTCATTTTTTTTGTTTGTTTGTTTTTAAATATAGCTTCCTGGGCTCTCCTTCTGAAAGATTAAGCCAGAATGTCTGAGTAAGCTCACTAGCCAGCTCCCTAGATGTCTTAGTCTGGGCTGATACAACAAATTACTATCATAATTACTACAACATTAACCTAGAGTGAGTGGCTTAAACAACAAACATTTCTCACAGTTCTGGAATCTGAGAAGTCCAAGTTCAAGGTGTCAGCAGATTCAGTTTCCGGTGAAATCCACTTCCTGGGTTACAGGCCTGTGTTTTCTTTCTGTGTCCTCACTGGGTGGAAGGGGAGAGAACTTTCTGAAGCCCCTTTCATAAGGGCACTGATCTCATGCATGAGAGTTCTACCTGCATGACCAAATCACCTTCGGTCCACCTCCTAACACCATTATGTTGGGGGTTAGGATTTCAACATACAAATGTCGGGGATTACATGTAGTCTATAACTTCAGGAATGCAGAGCAAGTGTGCTAACGACTAAATTCTCATCTAAATCCTGCTAACCAAAGTGTGGTCCACTCAAACCATTCACATCACCTGGGAACTTATTTGAAATTCTTAATCTCGGCCCCCACCCCACATGTACTCAATCAGAATCTGCTTTCGTAAGATCCTAGATGATTCATATGCACTTTTAAGTTTGAGAGGCATGCACCGATCTAAACCACTGTGCTCCTACACTTAAGGCGTCAGCATCACCCGGGAACTTGTTTAAATGTAAATTAGCTGACTGCACCCCAGTTCTGGGGGACCAGAACCCCTCTGGGGGTAGGCATAGTCATTTGTCTTAACAAACTCTTAACACTCAAGTTTGAGAAGCACTGGATTCGAGCCATTTTCCTGCTTTTAGCTGTGACCATTTTTAACTTTAAGCCATTTGCCGCCTATGAGTTTTAGCACCACAATTCTATTTCTAATGTCAGTGGGAACCTAAGAGAGTTAGAGAAGGAGGAACCTGTAAAAATCTATGGTAATATGTATGTATGGAACAATATGCTGCACTTATGGCAATAAATAGAGGATTTCCTCTTTCCTCAAGCTGGAGACATATTGAAAGGACTCTCTAGTTGGGTGAACATACAAGCCATATGCTGGCAGGCCATAAAACTTGTTTAAAGACATATCCATGCTTTTTTCAATAGCTATTTTAGTAAAGGTTTTACTCCCACCTTGATGTCTAAATTTTAAGACGCCTCCACCTCTGAAAAACATTTTTCAAAGATTGTCAGATTATAGCAGAGTGAACAGCTTCTTTAGTTTATTTAAGGACGCTGCCAGAACATTGTCGGCTCCAGGTGTTTCTAAATATTACGGGTGGGGGGCTTCCCTCGCTTTTATAAACACAGCAAGGCAAAGCTTCCTATCTTTGTTCTTTAAATAAAAGCTCTCAAAACTACCTATTACTTCTCAATCAATTCCTGGGGTTTATGTCACAGCCTCTGGTAGCTGAAGGCTTAAATAGGATTGTTTTACAGATCCTCGGTCTTCTTCTTCAGACCCACTCCTTCATTTAAATACTAAAGCGTTATAAGTTTATAAGTCCTTTGCCAAGTTCAGAGTCAATCTGCCATTCCCTTTCCCAAAGGGCCGCAAGAGAGAAATCGCAGGCGGGAACTCCAGGTGTTAAACCCTCTCGGGGAAGAGGCTGGAAGGAGGTTTAACCCCCGGCCAGAGCCGCGCCCCCGGACCACTACCCCCGCGCCTGCGCCGCCCGACCCCGGCTTTCGCGAGCTGGCTCCGTGGCCTCCGCACTTTTTCAGGCCCACCTCGAACCGCCCAGGGCCAGCAGGGGGCGGCCGGGCTCCGCGCGCCCCTGCGAGGAGGGGACGCCCCGGGAAAGGAAGTTCCCGGCTCCCGCCCGGCCGCCCGCCCAGAGCGCAGGCGGCGGAGGGAAGCGGCCTCCCCTCAGGGTCCTCCCCCGCCGGCCAGTCCCCGGCCCTTTCCCCGCCCCGCTCGGCTGCCGCCGCGGCAGGTTCCGGGTCCTGTGACCCGTCGGGCGGTGGCGCGGGCGCAGGGCGGCCGGCTTCGGGACGTTGCGACGGCCGACGGGGGCTCCGCGGGCGCGCGGGGAAGACGCGGCAGGGCGGCGACCCCGGCGCGGAGCCCGAGCTCGCGGGGGGCAGCCGGCCGGCTGGAACGGGGCCGGGGGCGCTCATGGCGGGCGGGGCAGCCGGGGACCCGGTCCTGGGGACGGCGGCGGCCGCCGCGCCCGAGACCCGCGAGCACCTCTTCAAGGTGCTGGTCATCGGCGAGCTCGGCGTGGGCAAGACTAGCATCATTAAGCGCTACGTCCACCAGCTCTTCTCCCAGCACTACCGGGCCACCATCGGGGTGGACTTCGCCCTCAAGGTCCTCAACTGGGACAGCCGGACGCTGGTGCGCCTGCAGCTATGGGACATCGCCGGTAAGTGGCGGGCTGCGGCCTCCGTCGAGAGCCGGCGGCTAACTCAGGTAGCCACACGGAAAGGGACGTGGCTGGGTGGACCCCAGTGGGATCACGACAACGGTAAGGGGCAGTAGTAGTTGAAGGGTTTAAAAGCAGGACAAGATCGAGAAATGCGTAAATAAATAACCCTGGTTAGATGCCTCTACTAAGTCTGCAGAAAGCATCTCATTTTTAAGAGATGGAAAGGTGGCCCTCTCCACTCCAACGTGCTCTCTCTCTTTCCCTCCCTCCCCTGACCAGAGGTGAAACAGCCATGGGGGCTTTTCCTGGAGTTTTAACTCTGAATGATGACAAGTTATAATACACGAGGAAGAGTGGGAGGAGGGGGGGGGGCAGGGGCCAGCTCCTCTCAACCAGCTTTAACATTTCACAGAGGAGCACAGAAGTTGAATGATTGCCCCCAAGTGACCCTCCTAGATAGTGACACAACCAAGGCTAGCAACCAGGTGCCTTTTCAGAATGTTTTTCATCACCCACCTTGGATCTGAGACCCTTCTTTCTGAGTGAAATTCTATTCTTCAGGTAGGGTGATCTCCTAGGTGAGTCCTTAACAACCCCTGCACCCCGGGGAAGATTTGGGAAAGCTACTCTTGAATCCTGCCTCCCTCCTTAACCCAAGGCCTAACCCCACTCCTGGCCCTGCCCCACTCCACACCACAATAGATTGTTTCCCTGGCATTTGCTTTCAGTTGACAATTTGGGAGCATAATGCCCCTCTTTGAAGGGGGTGCATATTCTCCTTGCTCTAATTTATGAAAATTTGAGCTCTGTCTGGTGGGGTGGGTGGAGTGTGGGCATTTAAAAAGATGGTGACTTTTGGAAAGTTTAAATATGGAAGTGATAGCAAAAGTTACCCTGTTCAATCATTGCTGGTAAGAAGCTCAGTCGGCAATAGAGAATCTGGATGGGAGAGTGTTCAGAGTGAGAGACCATCCTTCACGCTACAGATGCATCAACTGTGGAAGGTATGGTCACCCAGCTGGCAAATGAGTGGGGGGGACACAGGTCTGTCTGCTAGGCAGTGTTTTTTTCACCAACAGCTTATTACATATGAAAAAGTATTGAAGAATTAACCTATGTATATTAACCTAAATACTCATTTATTCAAGAACAGACTTTTCTGCCTCAGATATGCAAATAAATTTATGTATGTCAGTCCCTCACAGAAAGGAGGATAATCTGCCCTGGGCTCAGCTTTTTTTTTTTTTTTTTTTTTTTTTTTTTTTTCTTTTTTCCCTTTTGGTTACAGAAAACCAAAAGTTCGTTTGAAAAGTCATCTTTTGAAGTCAGGCTTCTTTTGAAATACTTCCTGCTGTTTCACAGACACTTATGAATAGTAGTATTGCTTCTTGACAAAGTCATAAATTCTAAAGGTTGCCTTACCATGTGATAGTCATTCTGCAGGAATCTTCATTGTTGCTACAGATTTCCGTGAAGATTTTACACCCCTCACCTAGGAGGGTTGTTGACTTTGCCTTATTCTTCTTGTTAAATAATATCATATTTAACTATTATGATTGGATTTCACTGCAGGTAAATAAAAGATTTTATTGGCACATTTGTGTTTTTAAGCTTCCAGCAAAAATGCTGGTTATTTGGAGGCTTGGGAAAGCAAAGTCATGAGTAATTTTCTCCCTGGGTATCACCTCTTATTTTTTTGTCCAGCTGTAACAGACCTATGCAGCCAGGAAAGAGACATAATCAGTCTTGTCAGACTCTGGTACACATTGGCCTAGATGGAATGTGCTTGCACTTTTCCCTAAATGCAAAGGTTGAGCTGTGCCGGGACAGAAAGCAGAATTTTAAGATCTCTAAAAGGGATTCCTGGATGTTTAGTACCATTCAGCAAGTACACACGAGCTGTTAAAAAGATTAGGGGTAAATTAATGAGGTAGTTGAAAATTACTAGTCTCACCTTATAAATAAGATTTCCAGAGATGGAGTCTTAATATATAAGGAAGTTAACACAGAAATAATTTGGCTTTCACTTGGGGCTTAGGGAGCTACATCATTAACTATGTTTGCTTTGAATATTTGACCTCTTAGTGAATCCTAGCTCATACCATTTGAGTTAAGTGGTCATGATGTAATGAAGCAAACTGAAGGCCACTCCAAAAAGTTCCCCATGGCTAAACATATTTGCCTTATGTAGTTACAACATTGAATGATCTTTAATTGTGAAAGTTTAGAAATACTCCTTGATTGCAAAACAGTAGGCAGGGCTGGCCAGTTGATATGACTAACTTAAGGTGTGGCCCTGTGACTAGTTTTTTACTGTTGTGTTAGAGATGAGAAAGATGGTCAAGGAATTTTGTTGGGTCTCTATACTTGGAAACTTTGGCAGGGGTAACAGGGAGGAGTTGGCCAAATGTTTTCCATAAATGTGGCCGGGCAGTTTAAGCTAAACTCTTCAGATTAGGAACTACAGTGATTCTTGGGTACAGGCCTTCCAAATGCTTTCTTATTGCATCAAATGAATGTAGCTACAAAATACCGATGCACCTCAATATAATTTTTGTGTTGGGCAACCGTCTCTTACCCCCTACCTGTTTGAAGATGGCTCTTAACACAGGACTGAAATATATACTAAGACACTGAAGTCTTCAGTAAGCTTTTCAAAAAGTTTTAATAAATACTACTAAATTAAGAGGTAGCAAGAGATGTCTCTGATCTTCTTTTTGTTGTTGTTACATAAATGAACCCATTTATTATAGGCCAGCAATGTTTTAAATAGTGGTCTCTTGGGGCGCTTGGGTGGCTCAGTCAGTTAAGCATCAAACTCTTGGTTTCGTTCAGGTCATGATCTCATGGTTTGTGAGTTCAGGCCCTACCTGGGGCTCTGTGGAGCCTGAGTGGGATTCTCTCTCTCCCTCTCCCTGCCCCTCCCCTTGCTCCCCCTCAAAATAACTAAATAAACATTAAAAAAAAAAGAAAGTAAAAACAAGTTTGTCCATTTAGAACTAATATAATTTAGTCTTCCCGTATTCACTGAAGTGATTGCTTTTGTAGGGGAGGCAAAACTTTATCTCTGCCTTCTTAGAGTTTTCAGCAGAGCCTGAAAATTAAAAAAAGAAAAAAAAAAAAAAATCAATCCGAGACAGATTAACAGCAGAAATTTATGTCACCTAAGTTTTACCTGACACAGGAGTCCTCATAAGAAAATGAACACCCAAAGAAGTGACAAAACCTAAGTGCTTTTATACCAGGTTGAACAAAGGGAGGGCATTGTGGGAAAATAACTAAAATATATGGGGAGGCTAAAGGAAAATAAGAGTTATTTTGTATGGTCTGTTTATAGAGAATTCTCCCAGCTTCAATTCCTGTCCGTGGTGATAGGAATGTTTCTTTCCTCCTGGTAGAGAGAGGACATCTCTCCTATGGGGGTTTTCTCGTCTGCTTTCAGGAAGAAAAAAGAGAGATTAGAGTACCTTTCGGGCACCTGCTCTTTTTAAAGTCCCTTTAGTTCAAATTAATCCTTATGCCAAAGTGGCATTTTCTGGGGGCCTGGTCTCTTCTGCCACGCTTCACTTTTTAGGATTAGTATTTCTGTATAAAAATCTGAGTAAAAATCTTCTGTAAAAAAAACTTTGGACCAACGAACCAATCAGGAACATTCTACTCTGAAGTTCATGTAAATAGTATTTACCAAAATATAAAATGCATGGTTGGAAGACATTATCAATTACATAAACTATACTTAGATTCACTTTTTATTTTTTTTTTTTGATCCCCAGCCTAAATTAGAATGTTGATCCTGCTTTTCTTATCCCATTTTCCACAGTGGCAGTCACTGATCACTGTACCTCGTGGCCTCTTCTTGTCTTTCATAACTCTCCTTTAACCCTCATGAGCAAGAATCTTAAATATTATCTCCAGTGCTTTCTTGACCTTCAAAGTATCTATTAGTCAAAAATTATTAAAATTCAGTTTTTTTCTAAATATGCAGAAGAAGTGCTCTGAGGAATTAGTCTATAGCTATTTGTAGTCTCCCTCTTCAACACTGAATTTACAATGACTTTCCAATTACTTAATAACTCACTTAAAGGGATTTTTAAAATCTTCCTTATATCTGACTTCCGTACAGTCTTCCTGTCCTTAGCCTTATACAGACTAAAATGCTGTGTTGAATTACAAACAAAACCTACTGTTCCATTTTACATCTCTTTTTAAAAAATTTATTTATTTTAAGAGAGAGAAAGAGAGGGAGGGGAGGAGAGAGAATCCCAAGCAGGCTCCCGGCTGCACGGAGCCCCGATATGGGGCTCTATCCCACGACCCTGGGATTGTCATGACCTGAGCTGAAATCAAGAGTTGGACACTCAACCCACTGAGCCACCTAGGTGCCCCCATTTTACATCTTTAAATCTTCCTCAGTTTGTGAATCCTGAGACACTTTGGGTGCTCCAGTCTGGATTTTGTATCCCCAATTGCCCAGGCAGAATGGTCAGTGTAACAACATATTAACATATGCCTATTGCCCTTTTTTTTTTTTTTAATCTGTTACCATTTTCAGTTGCCTCAATTCGCCCACATAAACTGAAAAGTGCCCAGGTTAGTAGTAGAGGGAGTGGGACATTGATAAAAGTACTAAAGTTTGACTTTTCCCCCATTTTCCTAATCATTCTACTATTTGAGTTGAACTATATAGGCTTTTAGAGATCCCATAGTCTAAATACAGAGAAGTATAATAACTTGACCAAGGAAACACAGATAATCGATGGCACTATACAAAGACATGTCTTCTGATGCTGAAATATGAAAATAAGCTTTTAATTGTTCAGTGAATTTTTGGTTCACTGGTGTCAAAACACTCCAAAGAATGTCATCTGAGAGTCTAACAGACTCTTGTCTAAATTAGCAAATGTTCTGGTCATCCGTATAGTAGTGCACATGATTCATGTGTTAAACCCCTTTGCAATAATTATCATCTCTTTATATCATCAGTCCAGAATTTCCAG